AAAGCCATTAGACTTAGATTGTTCTCATTTTCTCAAAGAGACAAGGAAAAAATGTGGTTAAATTCCTTAAACCCAAACTCTATTACCACATTGAATGAGCTGGCCCATAAATTTCTAGGAAAGTATTTCCCATCTTCTAAGACTATTATTGACCTTATTTTCACCTAAACCCTTGGCAAAAGGGGGTCGACCTGGTCAAATTGACCAAGATAGACCTCAAAACCCATTCCACTGAGTTCAATTAGTCAAGCCTAGTCTGCGGAGCCCAGACCCAGGCCCTAGGTCAACTTGGTTTACCTACCCAAGTTGACCCAATTGATCTAAATTCCCTTCTCTTAATTTCAAATCAATTTTAAAGCTTTCTTGGCTCAATTCCCCACCTCTATTGGGTTCTTCTATGGGTCAGACCAAGTCTATTGAGCTTAGACCCATACCTTTTGTCATCCTAGTTGACCAGGTCAACCTAAGTTGACCCAATTAGCCCAAATGAGCCTAATTCAAATTCAAATCAATTTCAAACCTTTTTTGAATCAACCCCTCAAATGCCTTAGTCAAATTGACCATGTTGACTAGGTAAACCCATGCCTTGGTCAAACCTAGCATTGTATGGTCAAATTTGACCTATTTAGGTCAAAATCTCTCCACTTAATGCATTCAAAACTTTCCAAATGATCCCTAGAGTCAAATCACAGTCTAACCACTTCTTTCCCTCCTAATCTACCCTAAATTCAATCTAGGCCATTTATCAAAAGCTTAGGACTTTAAAAAAGGAATTTAGGGTTCATGATAGGGACCTTTGGCATTATTTTTCTCTCCAAGCTCTCCCAAGCCAAAATATCTTGTGTGAGAGCTCTCTCCAACTCCTTCCTCCTTTCCTGACCTAGATCCATCGGTCAAAGCCGACTATTGGAGAGATCTCTGATGAACCAAGACCAAATCCCTTCCAAGGCATTTTCCCGTTAATCTAGTGTGTTTCAAAATGTGATTTCTTTTATAAATAGGAGTGTGGTCAGTCTACAAGTGTAACAAGTCCTTATACAGATTAATCCATCACAAACCAATGTGAAAACTCAAACCCTAGTCTAGGATACTTAGGGTTAATTAGCTTTGCATTAAGCACATTTTAGACAGCACAAATCATCCCCCATGAATGCTCTTCATGTATAGAGGAGCTAGTGTTTCAATTTTCATTTGATTTGGTGCACTCGATCGAGAGAATGAGCCAAGTTATTATTCTAGGGCTTGGGTTCACTTTCCTGTCTGCTAAGGGATGATCCGGACCATTAATCTCATGATCAACAGTCAGGATCTTATTATTTTGTGGTTCGGATTGACCGCTCAGCTCAATCCCATGGCTTCACTATTCATCCACTTCGATCTGGATTTCTTTTTCCAAAATATGGGAGATCAGATGGTAATGGACACTATCCGATGTGGTTAAGTGCTGCACTATTTTATGCACAATTATTACCAATAATTGCATGACATCATAATCATTGGCAATAATTGCAAGAATGGGGAGTGGATTAGTGAATGATTAGGCTCCAATCATTTACTAATCACATCAATAATCATGCTTAACTATTATTTATTCATCTTTTGCATGTGTAGGATGTACGAGCACCTAGTCTAGGCTCTCCTAGATTTAAGGATATGGTGCACTTATGTTTAGTTTCATTCCCTTTTATGTTACCCCAAGGGTTAGTTTTGAACAGTATATTCAAATCTACTTAACGTAGCGGTACCCTAAGGATAATAATGAAAGACCCATCTAGCAAACTTAGAAAAATTCTAGGAGCTATGACAGATCCCCAATTGACTTGAAATTTGAAACACTTAAAGTTATTGACATCTTGAATCTCCTAGAATTTTCTAGGAATTTTTAGGAGCCTTTAAAATAATTAATTAAATAACCCTAATATACCCTTAATTAAGTCCCAATAACTTCAAAAAAATTTAATAAATTGAAATTAAATTATAAAATTAAATATAATACCTTAAACTCTTTAGAATGCAATCTTTAATATCATAAAATTAAAATACTCTTAATTTGAATTTAATCTAAATCTTAATTTAATTTTGACTAAAAATCACCTGTTTTATTAAATTAAATAATAAAAAATTATTAAAAAATCCAAATTTTTCCCAAACACTTGGGAACACCTCTTAAGATCTTTTATGACCTATGGGGGTGATTCCAAGTAGTTTGGAGCTGATTTGGATGAAAACCCTTAAAATACCCTTTATTAAATAATTTTTAATAATTCATTAATTGCCCCAACTTCTACAATTCATAACTAACTCCAGAAAAATCTAAATATGGTAAGCTAAAAGGCATTCATATCTAATTAAAACTAGTATTTATTAAAAATATTAGGTTTCTAGAAACCAACTTAAATAAAAAATTTAATTGTTTGGTGAACTGTAGTTCATTAATTATGGACTAAAACTTCTAAAATTCATAACTTTGCATAGAAAATTTCAAATCTAGCAAACTCAAAGTCTAGTTACTCCTTGTAAGGTCTAATATTTACTAAAAAATTTAATGCCCTAAAACCTAACTTATTTCTAAAAGTGACTTTTTGGACCCCTTAAGTTAACGAGTAGGATGACCCCAAACCTTCTAAAACTAGTTAATTCAACTTAAACTCCAAAGAATATCACCCAAAGTATTAAAACTGACCAAAAAACTAAATTAGCTAAAATTGACCATAAAGCATTAATACTTAAACCTTAAACTAAAAATCCCCCTTTTGACCTTCAATAAATAAGGCAACAAATAACTTGAACTAATCACCTAATATTGGACATATCCAAAGCTACATAGCCTACAACACACATAGAATTGTTTGCTAAGGCACCATTTCTAGCTCTAGGTTAGGCTGGTATTTTCCTTTTCTATTTCTATGAAGATGCTTATGCATGTGGCACGTGTGCTGGTTGACTTAATATGCCGTGATTATTATGATGTTTATTTTATTACTATACTTTCTTTATATGAAGTGATGTGCATGATAGATTACCTATAGGTTAGGGGCGCTCTTGATACTGACATTATTTTCTGCAGGTGGACATGCTCAAGCAGTGCTAAAATAAAGCGGACTAAAATGATAAATAATGAATATACTTATATAATTGTTTGATACAAGTATTTCAGTCGCTTAGCCCCCAAAAATAAGTAAGTGCATAGCCAAGTGTGATAGGAAATGTGTACTTTATTTTTCATTTATAACTACTTGGGACTTTCTATTTAACTGTTTACGATAACAATGCAGGAGAGTCTAGATTTTCTTTTTTAAATGATATAATTTGTAATTTATAAAGTATCGAGTTATGAAAGTCTTTAAATATGAGGAATTTCAAATGCTAGGTACCCAAAGGAAAAAATAAAGGCCCTTCACATGGAATTTTTTATTCATTTGGGTACTTTTCAGAAAGATGAATCCTACAAAGCCCGAAGGAGACAACCCGAAGATGATAGTCTAAAAAAGGACTGAAGACAAAGATGAAGACAAAATTCCTTACTTTTAAAATCTGTATCATTTAGTAGGATTAGAATCCATGTTTTTATTAGGGGAGCCTGCCCACCATTACTTCTCTATAGACCATGAGTTGTATTATATATGACACTTGCCATGGAATTTTTTTTTACTTTAGTAATTTATTTATATTTATGTGCTTATTTTATTCGCATTGTAGAACTTGCATAGTTTTTTTAGGTTTCTTTATTGTATGTATGTGTCTTGATTTAACTAGGCTCTCTAAGGACTAAAACCTTTTTTTACTCATAATCAAACTTTAATGTTTTAAGAATTAAATAATGTAAAAACTTAATGACCTAGGGAATAGCCAAAATTGTCTGAGGTTGTATGCATATTAATACATTTCTCTCCTCCCTTATTATAAGATACTTCCATGCCTGTAAGTTGAGTCCAGATAATCTGATCTATGAGGATGAGGTATTGGATCTGGGAAAGTCTAATCTTAAAAAAAATTATTTTTAAGCCTTTTTTTAACTTTGATGTATATCTGATTTAAAGACCTTTAACTAGCATGCATTATACTAGAAACTACTTAAATCAAAATTTTAATTGCATTAGCTCTAGGAGAATTCACCCTATATAAGTCCAATGCCACTTTGGAAACTCTCTAGACATCAGCCTTAATTTCCAAAAACCGAGCTACAGACTCATCTTTCATAAAGAACAAACATCATGGATTTTATATGCTTAAATGGTTAACTAGCTTTTCTTTTCAGGTAGGATATAAGTCTAGAAAGTATTAGTTAGGATATGGGTGTTATTATTGGGTGTAGAACACTAAACCTACTTTAGATTTAGGGTTTAAGGCTACTACATTCAGTGTCTCATAGTGTTCCTCATTGGTGGCTAAGTCTTTGATTCTTCAGGGGTTATAATACTGCCTATCCGCATCATATGGATGATGCCACCTCCATCTTTTTCTCTTATATATTTTGAGTGCATTGATTTCTTTTCTCCAGTTTCTTCTCATTATCTTAATCCCTTTGGATGTTGGTATGAGCCATGTATGTTGACTAAGCCAAATTGAATATTTCTTTTCCATTGAGTAAGAACTTTCTAGTCTCTCCCTTATGTACTAATCTCTTATGAAAGTATAATGTAGAATCCTTAATCAAGAGTCTTCTTAGGCCCAGGATTAAGATGTAATTAACCATAGGGGCTTGCGCCAGTGTGAAATCAAATTCCACCATCAAATAAACCCATTTAAGCTGATGTATCGGGTGAGGGAAATCTATTATTTCAATTAAGTCATGCATATTATTACCTATTGAGGTGTGTTTGAAAAAGTTGCTATCCTAAATGGCTAATTATATGTATGATCTAATCTGCCCTTCCATTGGCTCGCTTGCAAAGAGCGCAAAGGCATGTGATTGTCTCGTCCTTCGGGATGGTGCGATCGTATATCCTTCTACGCTCTGTCCCCGTTAAGCGGATCCCTTTCAGAGGTCCATAACTATCAAGCTTAAAGATGAAATTATTTCTTTTACTCAGTTAAAAAAAGAATCTATTTATTATAGTTTGGAGAGATTCAAGGAGATGCTTAAAAAGTGCCCTCACCATGCGTTATCTTATAGGTTAATAATTTAAACTTTTTACAAGGGATTGGTAGGATCACTTAAAGTTATAATTGATGTTGTAGCTAGAGGTTCTTTGATATTAAAGTCTTTTGAGGATGCTTTATTTAATGAAGATATGACAACAAATAATTTTTAGTGGCCTACTAATAGGGTGAATCCTAAGAGAGTGGCTACAGTTTATGAGAATGATTTTTTATCTATTTTGACTGCACAAGTTGCATCGATATCAAAGAAATTAAGCATTTTAGTCTTAAATTTTGATTCATCTTTATATTTGGAAGATAAAAGTTCATTAGATGAATATGATATTTAAGGGATTAAAAATATAAATTTGATTAGAAGAGAAAATAATTCCTATTTTAATACATATAATTCAAGTTATAGTAATCATCCAACTGTTAATTGGTCAAATAATAATGGTGGAAATTAGTGGAATTTTGATCAAAATAATTGTGGCACAAATTGGAATAATCAAAATCAAGCTATTAATAATCCTAGACCAGCATTTCCTTCTGAATTAAATTGAAGAAATCACAATGGAACTAGGAAGACACCAGTATAATATGTGGTAATGTAATTGGGAACACAATTACAAAATCAAGCAACTTCTTTTTAGGGTGGCAAACATATCCTCTAAATTAGGTTTTACTTAATATACTTAAAAAAACCTTTGAGAGAAGGGAGCACCACGGTGCTATATCTTTGAATGCTTCAGCACCCTGACTGGCTTTAATGATTGGAATTTCAAAATTTTCAAAGTTCCCACCCACTGAAATCTATGAAACTAATTAGGATGAAGTTCTTTCTTTAGTTCTGACCAACTATTGATTGTGGATCATACTTTCTTCTCTTGGAAATCAAAAGTCTAAGCAATGGGTAGAATTAAGCATACATCATCTTCTTTAAAGAACTGAAATAAAAATCATAATAAGAATGAGGGATTCTTTCTCCCCTCACTATATGCAAAGTTTTACCATTATTAATAAATTAAAATAATTCAAAGAGGAGTTTCATGAAGATAAAAGTTACATGGCAGAAATAAGGAAGATGTATGTTGGTAGAGTTTTCTTATATAATTTTTTTGCTGGGCAAGATGTGCAATTTGATTATAAGAAAAAAATATTGACATGGTAAAATCAAATCTGGATGAATTGGTTCTTTCACTATCATTAGAAATTTTCTTAATGGTGTCATCAGGATACACAACAAGAAAAATGTATAAACAATCAAAGTAAATGAGTATTGATTGAAACCTTGTGATTATCTGAGAAAAGAATTCTTATAATTGTGCATGCTTTTTTGTAGTTCAACTTAGTTAAAAAATATGGATTTGAAAGTAATTGTTGAATGATGGGTGTCATGTGCACTATTTATTCTGTAACTGTATTATGTTAGTGATGAAATGTTATGTTTTGTTTTTAATATATGTTTTATGCAATTTTAATCACTCATATGAAAACATGAGTTTGTAGTTTTTATTTATTTGTTTGTTTACATATTAGCAAATTCCCTTCATTTTTAAATTATTATTGTCCTCTAAAAACTTTTAAATTCTAATTATTTACTTAACCCTTATAAAAATGATAATTACAAAAATATGAAAAATTAGGATAATAATAAAACTCTAGATCCTAGTTTTAATAAACTTTGTTTATACTTCATATGTTGAAAATCTAATACTTAACTCATTCAACTATTTGGGCTATTATCCTAATTTAAATTTATAAGTTATACCTTTATGAATTTAACTTTTAAAAATGGTAAGATGAATAATTAGTATTAAAAGTTAAATATAAGTATATTTAGATTTGAAATCATAGCTAAATTTTAAATGGAATTAGTAATCTCATCAAGTCCGTGCATTAAAATTATTAAGATTGTATGAGAATCCTAAAAATAGAAGCTGATATTCAAAATCAATAATTATGTGCTCCATAAAAGAAAAAAAAGAAAAACAACTATAAATAATTCTTTAAAAAAAAGATAAATTACAAAAGAAGAAGATGAGTAAATTCAAAATTTGGTATGTGTGAAAGCTTAAAGATTTAAAGTACAATCTTATATAAAATTTATTAAGGTTAAGATGTGGGAGTTAATACAAGTGATGGTAAACTAATGAAAATTAGCTATAATCATATCCAATTTTTAAGGCACATTATTCACTTCAACATTCAAAAGCTAATGATAAAATCTATAACCAATAATTTCAAATTATGTAAATGTAACTACAAGAATGATTGATCAAGTTTAAATATTGATATTTTTCTATATTAGAAGTATTACTTTGATTCATTTTTACTAATTGTAGATATTGATGTATTATCCTATATTATAGTAATTTTAGATTGTTACTTTTTATTTTGGTTAATCACTTGATCAAAATTATAAGCTTTTATTTGCTTGAGGACAAGCAAGAGTTTTAGCTAGGGAGATTTGATAAGTGTAAATAATATTATGTTTTATGTATTAATTTGTTAGTGAAAATGTATATTTTTTTGTTTTGTTTATGAAAAAATTTATAGGAAATTGGAAAAATTTTCAAGTATGGCACAACAACGCAGCGTCAAATATAATATCACCATGGAACCATCACTGACGCCACTGGAGTACCAAGTATCTGTTTAATAGTACTGCCACATCAGAGGTGCCAGCACCGCAAAGCCCATCAAACTATCCTAGCATCACAGTCTTGGAGGAGTCAGCATAATTAAGCCTAGTCTCTATCTATATAGCATCACGGTTCCAAATTCCAGTGCTAATGAATCAAAGGAGTACCATATGGACATTACAACTCTCAAACATCATCAACATCATGACATTGCAATTGTAACTATTTAAGCCATGATTTGCAAGAAAAATGATGTATCGATTCATTAAATGGTGGGTCCATGTCAGCACGTGCTAGAGAAAAGAAAACCCAATATCACTACGGCGTTAGTTCATTATGGGTGCCATAGTGCATACATCTCAAGCACCTGAGCACAAGAATCCATCTTCTATATTTTCATATAAATAGTCTATTTTTTATATTAGTAGGGGTGTTCAATCACTTAGTAAAATTTAGACTTTAGACTATCTCTCTAAAATTTCCATAGGAGCGATAACTAAGGGATTTCAAGGAGAACTAGATCCATTTCTTCAGAGTACTTAATCAATGTTTATGGAAGAAATAATGTAAGTTCAAGGAGTAGAGAAGATCATTAAACCATCTAGTGATATCTCTTCTTTTGCACTTTATTTCTTGTATGTTATTAATGAAAATGAGTTTGCTCGAATTATTTTTTATGAGTTGCTAATTCTCAAAGTTTTGGATTGATTGTGTAAATTAAATATAGAATACTAATGATTTCTCTAAAATTTAAATTAATAACCTGATGTTTTTAATATATCAGGTCTTCTTTTAATTTATATAGTGGCCATATGAGTATTTAATATCAGGTGTGATGTGGAGCCTAAGAATAAGAAGTAGGAATAACCTGGTATGTTGGATTGGTATAATGCAAGCATAGGTATAATGCTTATCATCTATCAAATTTTTATATATTAATTATCATGAGGGGGTGATTAACAACAAATGGTTTACTTACTATTCTAATATTTTTATAGGGTGGTAAATTATGAGTGTTTTGAGTGGAATTGTGATTGGAATGCATTAAACTTGTACTTTATCTCTTCATGCTTAACTTAGTAGTTGATGATGCTTATGCTTTGAACAACATCAAATTATTAAGAAAATTAGTAGGAAATATATTAATTTTACATTTCATAAATCCAAAATATTTTATTCATATAAGTGTATCCATTACTTTGTTATTAGTTTTACTGAAGTGATTGAATTTTATTGAGTAGGATAATTATTGTACTTAAAGTAGGTAGTACTAGTATTTATAAGTAAACATACTTTCTTGTGGGATCGATATTCTACTTTATCACTATATTACTAGATTTAGTACATATATTTGTGTATATTATGTGGGATCTTTTTATAATTTTTTAGATCAAAGAAAACCCAAGAATAGGTTAGGGATTGATAGAACCCAAGATTAATCCACTGCCCCTAATATACTTATAACCATCCAAAATTCTAGTTGAATTTAAAATGAATCAACCTTTAAATACTTTTATTTTATTGATGATAGTTTTTACTATTTATTTAAACCCCTTCCCTAGAGCTTTCCCAATGAATCCCCAAATTTTCCAAAGCACCAAAGTCTCTCCTTAGTGAGTTTAAGTTAACTTTGAATAACTACTTCCAACCAACAACACCTAAGTTTGTATTCACTTCTACTTAGCTCTCACATTATGAAGAGGAATTAACTCTAAGGATTAATTGAGTGTGAAGGAACCAAAAAACACTCTCAATTGACCATTAGATTGATGTAATTTTATCACTTTAGCTATCTTATATTTGGCCTAGTAAATTATGAAGGGAACTTCCAATCGATAGTTATCCATTCATTGGATTGTTAGTTTTTGGTCAGATGATCCTATGGGATCATTTTGAGCACGTTTTGTTTGCTAGATCCACCGGATCGTGCAATTATTTATCTACAACTGAAATTTGAGTTGGAGGTTGAAGATTAAATCATAACTATCCATTTTATTTAAATTAATGGAGTAGTTTTCAATGAGTTGGATCAAATCTTGTGCGACCATCCAAAAATTTTGAGTTGGTAGTGTCGTGATATCACAAGTGCCCACAGTTCTTTAAGTGGCAAATTAGATTGTGCCAAGTATAAAAAAGTTCAATCAATTAAATAATTGACTAAATAATTATGAGGAAGGTTGATTACTTTAAAGGTTGATTGAATAAGCTTATGATAGTATGAACTAGCAAACATTGTGCCATGTTATGATTATCATGAATTTTTCAATCAAATTCGTAAATTGTGTAATGCAATGTGTTTGTTCCCAAGATTCAAAGTTTTGATTAATGGAAATCTTTCTTATTGGATTTTAGTTGAATGTGTCTTTAGACACGTTTCCC